TTTGACTGTGGTTTCTGCCTGTTCGGCCGGGCATTTGACCAATTATTTTTTCAAAAGTCAAATTCCCCGGGGGTTGCCCGGGGGGGGGGCCTGATCGCGGTTGGATTTGACTCGTACATAATGTTCATTGAATGTATAGATTTATGATACATTCTAACATGCATTTATCATTGTGCTTTTAGGGGAGATGATTTTAGAAAAGATTACGGAAAAGATTGGAATGTTGTGTGCAAGTTTTCCTAATGCTCCAGTCCTTGCATTGACTGCAATAGCAAATAAAATGGACAGAAAGCATGTTAAAGAATCGCTTGGGTTAAAGAATTGTGCCGAGTTGGTAGCAAACCGTGATCATAGGAATATATTTTATGAGAAATGTTTTAGAAAGGGACAAGACATTGACTCCATTGAGAACATTTGTAGACCAATTGCCAATGACCTACTGAATATGACCATCGACTATCCATTGACAATTATATATATTCCACTTAAATGGTGTGGCAAATTATTCATATTGGACCGCCCAGAACGATAAGGGAGTATTTCCAAGAAACTGCAAAGCTATTACAGTAACAGAGATATTGCCCAGAACAAACCAGGTTTCCAAGAAGTAGTAAGGACATACTGCCATTGCAATGATCAGTGCTTGCAATGCTTACTCCTACAGTTTTTGGATGTCAAACTGCCAGTACCTGTTTCACCTGGACATGTATGTTGCAGTGTGTGTAAGAAAACTTGTGAATGTATCGAGTGCATTTTAGATACCGGTAAGTTATTTAACCGTTAAGGCACAATTATTTTGGTTTCCAAATATGATTGTTGGTGTTAAAAAAAATGAGCTTACATTGCACCTTAATGTTTTTATAATTTACATGTCAAATATAAACACAATTCATTTCATGGGAACATCAGAGACAGCACATCAAAAATGTTGGGTTGACATTGTGTAAACATAATAAATACTTAACTCATTAACGCCCAATGCGCCCGTATGCGCCCTGAGATTGACAAGTGGGTAACAGACAAATGCGCCCGAATGCGCCCTCAAATGACACCTCAACTTGCGGGCATGATATTTGAGCACGTGTTTATCGAGTTGCCTAGCAACGGATACGAAAATAGAACGTGAAATTCGAGCTTTTCAACGGTGTATCATGCAAGAAAATTGGTCAGAAACTCGCAAAGTTTTTCAAGTTTAAAACCTTAGTTTTTCAAAAATAATGAATAATGGAGATATTGTTGCAAAGAAGGATTTTACAGCAAGTTTTAAAAGCGAAAAAAGAAGAGGTTTTCGGATGCTATACAACGAAAATTTGGCATGAAAGGAAAGCGAATGTATTGACGTTTTGGGCCAAGTTTTTCTGTGAACCTTGCGCAAGATTTTCAGCCAAAAAGATGAGGATTTCTACAAACTTTATTAAAAATAGAAGTCGGAAATCGCAAGAAAGATGAACACAGAACACAAGTGAGCAGATACGATTTTTTAAAGGGTATTTTTGAGTAGAAATATGCGATCAAACACTCACAAAATTCGACCGCATCAATGTTGGTTGAATCTAGTTTAAAGTTATCTTTTTAGACAAACTGTTTATGCAAATTTGGGCACAATTTCAACTGTTTTCGTGACCCCATTGTTGGTCTTCTTGTTCAAGTTGTTATTTTAGCTAAAGTATGTTTCAAACGACACCAGATTGTGCGTACGTGACCTTTTTTGGCAAGAATACTTCGAGTATTAAATTACACTAAATAAGTAGGATATTCCAAAGTCACTGTTATATCTATTTTCATCAATTTAGTGTTAAAATGACAACTCGTTTCAGACATATTGTGGTTTAAAATAAGTGTATTGAATAAACGCGCTTGCTTGCCACGTGCGAATTCTCAAAAAGTCCGCACTTGAGTTGTAAAGCTTTCAAAATGTCGCTTCTCTCTGAAATGGCTTCCTTTGCGGGAAGCCATGAAATTGAAGTCCTAACAAAAACTAACCTTAGCAGTTCTTTTGGCCCATTGCTCACTTATTTATCATGAAATCGCTTCACTAGAAAATTTTTAATAATGTCTATGGAAAACTTTGTAATTTTCTGAACATAAGTTTATGGTTTCGAGGTGTTTATTTTATAAAATAGTATGCGCGACAAAATGGCACTTTTGTGGTTTCTCACGTCTGACAAACAACCAAAGATGAAAGTCCTTAATTCACCTTTTTTATAGCTATGTGGAATACCTGAATATTAGGTTATCTTTTTCATGCGAGTATATAGATAACATTTCTACGCAATAGTCCTTATGAAGGCTTATTTCAAACTAAAAAAAAGCGATTGTTTTTCAGAGCCAGACTTCAAAAGAGAACGGGTGTCTGACATTTTATAGCAGCCTACATTGGCGCGCAAAATAATTTTGGCTAAAAACCGTTGCTTTTCCAACAAAAAACATGAGAAAATTGAGCTAAAAGTCTTACCTGATGTATGTTTAAAATGTTTTTCTTTTTATGGTGTTTTTCAGTGCTTTGAGCGGAGAGGTTAATAGCTTTTGGTTTTGTCACCAGAATTTGCCTTTGAAAATGTCGGCTGTCATTGTCTGTGTTAAAAACACCTCAGAAAATTCCTATTTTCTCACCTTCCCATCCTTGGTTAATATTGAAAATAAATAGATTCTAGTACCATATGTCCTTATAAATATATTTGAAGTAATTAAAAACTTGAAAGATGTACAAGCACTGTGTTTTGGCTCTAAATTTCATGTTGTAAACATCTTGCCCAAAAAAGCAAAGGAGTATATTTTATAATTTTTGATCATTTTCTAATTCATATCCCAATAGATGAAAATTGGTTATAAAATAGATATGTACTAATTTAGTGAATAATTTTTTTTTTGTTTTTATATAAATTTATGGAGATATTGCCCCTTTAGGTGATGAGTGACATGAAAAACTAAGTGTCACTGCTTTACAAATAAAAATTCTCATTGAAAAAACTAATGATATATAGGTATGCAAGTTCATTTAAACTAAATTTGGTCAATCATATATCAATAATATTTGGTTGAAAAGACCAGATTTTTTCATGCAACTGTTTCTGAGATATTGCCATTTTGGTGAAAGCTCTTGAATTCAATCATGTATTCGCCATTTTGCTTGTCCACTTTGGGGGTAGAAACATTGTAACAGCTTGCGCGTAAATGAGTTAAATTCAACTTTTATACTTTGAAAATTATATTCTTCAGTTAATTCCTATATATATATATATATATATATATATAGGTTTTTTGGGTTATGTGGTCGTTTGAGGACTCTGGCCCCATTACGCTCTGCGCATGTCTGGATACGTTGAGTCATTGTGTTGTACCACATTGCCTTGGTGAGAGCAAGTTCATGGGGTATAAATACGAGTGTCTCACGTATCTAGACGTGTACCAAGCTGCACTGACGAGGCGTTGAATGCCGAAACATGCATGTCTGCAGATTGTACTATTACGCTCCTTCACTTCGGTGTTGTTGAGCACTCTGCAGAGTTGTTAATGGGTGTCTATTAGCGATAATGCAAAACTCACTTCCCTTGTGGTCGTTTGAGCACTCTGACCCCATTACGCTCTGCGCATGTCTGGATACGTTGAGTCATCGTGTTGTACCACATGCCTTGGTGAGAGCAAGTTCATGGGGTATAAATACGAGTGTCTCACGTATCTAGACGTGTACCAAGCTGCACTGACGAGGCGTTGAACGCCGAAACATGCATGTCTGCAGATTGTACTATATATATATATATATATATATATATATATGTAGGGTCGCCATCAATCACAGGAGAATGGATATGGAGGGTCGCCATCAATCACAGGAGAATGGATTTTAACCTCCCAAGCATGGATGGATCAATGCACAGGTGAAAAAAGAGCAAGACAGCTGGATTTTATCCTTACCAACAGAGAAGCAAAAGCGCACCACTGGTTTTATTTCGACTTTTTCCATAATGACTGGCGTTTCCTAAATGGCATAAAAAGAGAATCAAATTAATCTTTATATAATATTTGTATACTGTATACTTCATAACCATTCATTTTAAGCAATTTTTATGTCTAATTTTAATTATTTAATATTTTCTTTTACATTTCCTATCTTTATATACTATAACAACTTATTAATCAAATCCATTTATATCTTATAATGATGAAATATTATTATAAATTATGTGAAACAGTGTTATACTGTTTTTATACAGAGGTCACCCCCACATTGTGTTACCTTACTCTAGCTAAATAAATTAACAGACTTTTCATTAGTCCTTGTTAATGATAATAAGAGAACGCTTCCAGTAAGGATCCTTTCGGGACACCTACAAAATGCCACTTAGATTTGTTAGATCCTAGATCCAAGTACAAATATAGTAAATACGCACAAACCTTTTGTACAAAATAAATGTACAAGTTTAAATAACAATTATCATCTATCTATAATTTCCTTTATTTTACCCAAAGATATATTTTAATTAATTAAAATTTTTTTTAAAGGTTTTACTTATTTTTAAATTTTATTTTGACGAGGCAGAAGCGTGCTGCTTGGCAGAAGTCGCTCCCTCACTACAGACTGACACATCACTACAAACAACAAACCCAACACACTATGGGAACCCTACCAAAGGGATTCCATCTAGAACAACCTTTAATGCCACATAGATTGATAGTGATCCACCAAAATGTATTTAACTATACAACCCTTAAAAAGTATGGCAGTGTATCTATGGTAGGGATACATAATTTCATTTCTATTCAACTCTATGAATGGTCAAGGTGTTCATATAATCTATATAACTTAAAAATTTATGTTTTATCGATTATTTTATACAAATATTATTTCTAACACAATTATGATTTATTATCTTTACTATAGCTATGTCTAACCTCTACCAACTTACTCCCCTACCAACCACATCCTATCTTTGGACATTTTAAAATACATTATACACAACACCTTAAACACTCATTACTAAATCTACAAGTTACTTACACTTAATATCAATTTCTCTCCTAATAAATCTATAGATGCAAATTACTATGGCAAGGAATAGTGCCTCGAGAAAGTTTCTAAAACGGAAATTTAATAATTCCACCCATAATCTTAACCTACCTACACCTCCCCCAATAACAACTCCATCTGATGTCCCATCTAATAATCCAAACCCTACATTACTCAATACCCTTCCGAACCCTACCTTAATCAGTTTCACCCAACCCAACCCTACCTATCCAACCAAAAAACAAAAGAGAATAGAAGGAAAAAGAAGATTTACAGACAGAAAATAAAAGATAGAAAAATCAACAATCAAAAAAAGAAGACTAACAACCACGTCACTTTCCACTGCACCAAAACCTGGAAAATAATATAAAAAACAGTAAAAATTTAAACAAACAACAAAAAAACAATCTATTCACAATCCATAACCTCTCAGGTAGACAAGACCTCCACTATCAAATCCCATCATGAAGACATCCAAACCAAATTAAACTCCATCAAATCCTTAAAGCAAGAAAACCAAGACATCGACAGCAGAATAAGTAATATCAAGAAAGATCACATCACAGCAACTACAAGCAAATGTAACAACCTTAAAAAATCCCACAACAACAAAGGACACGTTTTAAAGCAACACCTTTTCAAATTAAAATCCAACCTCAACCTATTCATCCATTCCCTAGATAACAGATTAACCCTCGCTAACCACAATATAGCCAACCTCCTTGCTCATGAAATAGCCAACCAACAAATCATCCTTAATCCAAGAACAACTTAAGTTAAAAACAACGAATAAAATCCACAATTTCACTACCATCAACCTACCCGAAGACGTAACAGAAATTCTAAACAAAGGAACCAACTTCATACCAACCTCGACAACTCTGAACCAAACTGAATTAAAAGAAACCATCTTCTCTGAAACCAACGCCACCCTCATCCAAATCATCAACAAACCTGTCACCCCCAAAAACGCAATTTCATCCACAACTAAACCCAAACCCACATCAACATTTGACAAGATAAAGCAAAAAAAGAATGAAAACCCCATACACATATTGGAACAAGAAAAATGTAAACCAAACTTCAATACCCACGCCTACGACTGTGTTTATTCTACAAATTACTATGCCCATTAATTTTAAAAATATCATACAAACAAACCTCTCTAATATCTCCTGCTTCTCTTCCCAGCTTTTACAAAACAACAAAGACATTAATGTTACACAAACAGACAAAAACATGGGATGGGCACTGCTACCTACTACCTGGTTTACAAACAAATACAAACGACAACTACAAGATACACGTACGTACCAACTAATAGAAAATTTTAACATTGAACAACATATCAAAGACAGCAACAAACTCATACTCAACATGAAAACACGTTTCGCCAATCTTATTACCTGTAACAAACATAATCTACTAGACCCTTTACAACCCCAGAACACGTACAGTTACCGTACATGAAACTTTTACCTAAAGTACACAAACTGATCTCTACAGCCTCTCCTAACAACGTTACAGACTTAACCAGACGACCAATCATTACAGCACACTCTTGGACAACCTCAAACGTATCTAGACTACTTGGCACAGAACTCGACAACATCATTTTACAACTCAAAAACCTTTTTATTTCTAAAAATATCAAATTTCCTTTAATTTATAATTCCTCAGAACTGATAGACTTTTTTCAAAAACAACACATTACAGACATCAACAACTTCCAACTGACCACTTTTGACTTTACCTCTCTCTACACCAAAATAACATTTCAAAACACTATCAATGCTATCATCTCCAGCTGCAAACTTCTTAAATTTTCTCGTCTACATCGTGACTTCCTACTCAACCTCAACAATTTTATTAACAAACGCAACTATTTTTCTGTTGGACAAGACATCTACAGACAAACACAAGGAGTTGCTATGGGCAGCTATCATAGCAGACAAATTGCAGACCTTGTACTTTTACTTAGTGAACTCAACTAACACTAACGGACTCTCCCTCTTTTCTAGATACATCGATGACGACTTCATGCTTACAAACAATACACTAACCTTTATTTCTTTCTATAATGCACAAATTCCCATAACATTCGCTTCAAATCAGCATTCTGTTAACTATCTTGATCTTACAATTTCTTTAAATCACCACTCCATCCTACATAACAAAATTCATTATCAAGTATATCAAAAACCAAACCACAAATACATGTACCCTCATTTCTTCTCTAATCATCCCCAACACATCTTTGCAGGCATTATTAAGACAGAAACTATACGCTACAGCAGACTGTCTTCTACTATCACCGACTACAACTACATATGAAAACTTCTTACCTTACGACTTAAATCTTTAGGCTACCCAACATTATTGATCCAACAAAACTCCTTTCCTTTTCTCACCCACAACCTTCACAAACATAGAACGAACAGCTCAATCAAACAGAAACTTCGAACTACTAACAATATTTACTACAAAATTAAATACAACAAACATGCTAGAACAGACAGAATAGTACATCACATACTCAACAAATACCGCAATGTACACATCGCAAAACTAACAAAAACTTACTGCAACTCAATGAAACTTCATTCTCTTCTCCTCACTAATAAGAAACTCCACAGTAAACTTGTCTAAAACCGAATTTTCTGAATTTGGCTTAAAATGTAACGAAAACAAACCAAACTATAGTGGAAACATTGTAAAACAAAGATTTTCCATAGATTATCTGCTCTTTTGAGCAATTGTCACTCTGGGGTCCTTCCAAACGAAGAACACATATTAAACATCAACCCGGGACACAGGATATACATTTCTAGTTAGCAACAATTATATCCAACTAATTTAGACTAGTTTTTGTTTTTTGTACATATTTTATTAGAAACCTTTCTCACATCTTCCCTTTCCAAATTTGCTTTCCTTTGATATAATAATTAAATTTATAAGCCATTATATTTTACAATTAACTATAAATATCTTAATATACATCAAAAGATTTCTATACTCACTTCAATGAAACTTCAGTGATATAACTTCACATCAGATTAGATCCAATCCCAGATAGTCGAAATTATTAACAGCATGGTTGAACATCCTTTCAAGAAATAATGTATATATATTGCTATAGACCCTATTCAAAGAATGAGATAATGCCAGGATATTTGAAATTTTATCATCATACTACAGACCCCATTTAAAGAACGAGAAACCGACAGTACATTTAAGTTTCTGATCATTTAACAACCAAAATATAGAATACAGCAGACTCAATTTGAAGAATGAGAACCTGACTATAGACTTGAAGTCTTACAATCATAATCAACAATAAATTGGAATTATACTACAGATCCCACTCGGAGAACAAGATACCATCTAAGCATTTGAAGTATTAATCATCAAGCAACATAAATATGGGATGATGCCACAATTTCTACCTGAAGAACGAGAAATCAACATAAATATGGGATGACACCGCAATTTCTACCTGAAGAACAAGAAATTGAAAACAATAAAATGGGATGTTATTACAGATTCATTTTGAAGAATGACATAACAAGTACTAATCAATTGGAAATTTAATCCTAAAACAACTAAATATGGATCAACACTGCAGATTCGTTTGAAGAACGAGAAATCAAATGAGCAATTAGAATTTTAAATGCATAGCCCCCCCCCCCCCTCAAAATCCCAGCGACAATCATAAATTTTAAGCAACACAACATAACATAAGACACCATTACAGTTTCCGCTCATAGAACGAGATATATTTGTTAAAAACCACGTTATTTAATATGAAAAATAAACGTACGATACATGAATACAATATATACGCTTCGACACATACGATCAGGAGAGAGAACAACGTGTTCGAAAGTCATGTGATCACCGTCCAATGATATCTCTTAAAACAAAATACTTAATGTATGCAATAATATAAATGATTATTACTAATTTCAACACTCCCACTTAATAATTATTTTGTCATTGCGTCCTGTTGAAAATATTTGATAATGTCAACTTATCTTAACTTCCTTAGTATGAACAAACATTCAACATGCTTCTTAGTCTTTGAAATATCTTCTTTGTTAATCCCTTTGTCATTATGTCCGCTAACATATGTTCAGTTGGACAATAGATAACTTTAACTTCATTTGATAATACTTTTTCTCTTACGAAGTGAAACCGGACGTCTATATGCTTTGTCCTGTTATGAAATCTTGCGTTATTGGAAATTTCAATAGCTCCCTGGTTGTCTTCGTACATTGTGGTGGGTTCTTCACTTTTACAACCAATATCTGATAATAATCACCTAATCCAAATTACTTCTTGCGTTGCTTGGCTTAATGCTACGTATTCCGCTTCGGTAGTTGATTTCGTCACACTCGCTTGTTTCTTGCTACACCAGCTTACGGTACTATTTGCGACTTTAAACACATAACCTGAGGTTGAACGTCTAGAATCAACGTCTCCTGCCCAGTTGGCGTCAGAATAACCATACAACTCGTCTCCATTCTCATCATCATTTTCACTCGTTGTAAATTTCAATCCAAAATTTAAAGTTCCTTTTATGTATCTTATAAGTCTTTTGACTCCATTCCAATGTTCCTTGCTGGGATTTGACATGTATGAAGACAATATACTAACTGCAGCAGAAATGTCTGGTCTTGTCGCTGTCGAGATGTATGTCAAACATCCTATAGCCTGTTGATATTTAACAAATATAAAACATTTTCCGTGTTGATATACAGTTATATCAACACGAGTGGAAATTGGGAAAACGAGAAATTGTGTGGAAACACGACGCCCGAAGGGCGGAGTGTTTTCATACAATTTTGAGTTTTCCCAACTTCCACGAGTGTTGATATAACTGTATATCAATACGGAAAAAATGTTTTATATTTGTTTTATAATATAGCAATGTCAAAAGCTCGAAGAATAAGAAAAATTTCCGTGTTTACAAGCGGCGGAAAATTTCCCGTGTTGACATGGAGTTATATCAACACGGCTCTCAGCGTTCAGAATTTACAAATGCTATATTATAAAAATTCTTATCAAATCCTTCTTCTTCCGTTCGCTTATGGTAAGTTGTTTCAAGAGGAGTAGAGATCGGTTTGCAATTAGCCATACCAAATCTGTCCAACACGCTCTCTAGATACTTCTGTTGACTGATGAATAGCGTTTTGGTTTCTCTATCACGCTTAATTGTCATTCCGAGTATAAAATGAATTTCTCCTTGATCCGTCATTTCAAAATGCTTACATAACAAGTCCTTCTCTGCGTTTAACATGTTAATGTCGTTTGAGATAGGAATTATGTCATCAACGTACACAGCCAAAATCACAAAATTTATGGATTTCACATAAATGCAATTATCTGCATTGCTCTTTCTATAACCGTTTTTCGTCAGAAAACTATTGAGTGTTTGGCTCCAACACCTCGCTGATTGCTTAAGTCCGTATAAGCTCTTCTTAAGCTTGCAAACGTATTCTGGATGTTCTTGGTCAACGAATCCGTCCGGTTGGGACATGTAGATATCATGTTCTATGTAGCCATTTAAAAATGCTGTCTTGACATCCATCTGATGAATTTCGTTGTGCTTGTTTGCCAAAGCTAATAGCGTTCTTATACTGGAATGTCTTGCAACAGGTGAAAAGACTTCCTCGTAATCGATTCCGGGTGTCTGTGAATATCCCTGAGCAACAAGTCGTGCTTTATGTCGGTCAACATTCCCATCTGCATCACGCTTGATTTTCATCACCCATTTCGATCCAATGACATTACACCCTTCCGGTGGTGGTACCAATTCCCATGTTTCATTACTAATTAGTGAATTGTATTCTTCTTTTAATGCTTGTTTCCATTTACTTGCATTTGCATCGTTCAAGGCTTCACTTATTGATTGTGGCTTTTCGTTTTCTGCGGTCAAGGATTCAGTAATATTGCACTCGTCTGGACTAAATTTCTTTGGTGCTTTTCTCTGTCTCTTTGTCTCGAGATTTTCTACTTGCTTCATGAAACTTTCTTCGTATGATTCTCCCACTGCTGGCAAATTTTCTTTGTCCTCAATGTCAGGTACAGTCGGTACAGGGACTTGATCTTCAGCATCATGGTGTTGTTCATGATCAACACTTAATTTCTCTTCTGGAACATCTTCTCGTATGATTAACTCTTTAGTGACTACTTTAAAATCATGAAACTTGTTTTCATAGAATACTACATCTTTACTTTGCACGAAATTCTTTGATTCTATATCATATAGTTTATAACCCTTTGTGTCGAGTGGATACCCAATAAATACAGCTTTTCGCGATCTAGGGTCAAGCTTTCGTCGTAGATTGCTGGGTATATGGATGAAACAAACTGATCCAAATACTTTCAGGTTTGACACATCTGGCTTTTTACTGAACCAGAGTTCATAAGGTGTTTTCATATTTAGGGATGTAGTGGGACTTCTATTGTGTAAGTACACAGCTGTGTTGACAGCTTCTGCCCAAAAGTTGATCGGCATGTTCGCATGAAATATCATGGACTTGGCAGATTCCATGAGTGTTCGATTTAATCTTTCCGAAACACCATTTTGCTGTGGAGTGTAAGGATTACTGTACTGATGTACAATTCCTTTATTTACACAATATTTGGAGAAATCATTAGAAACATATTCTCCACCATTGTCTGTTCGCAATGTTTTTACTTTCAACCCAGTAAAGTTTTCAACCATGCTAACATATTCTTGGAATTTCTCATAAACCTCTGACTTATTTTTCAGAAAATAAACTGTTACATATCTAGTGTAATCATCAGTAAATGTTAAAATGTACTTACTTCCACCAATGGAGTCAGTGTTCATTGGTCCGCATACATCACTGTGAATTAATTCCAGCAGTTGAGTCGTTCTATTAGAGCTTTGTTTTGGGACAGGTATTTGATGCATCTTTGCTCTTGTGCATGCTTCACATTCTTGACTGGTTTCACCCTTAGTATATTTCATACCAGTTACTAAGTTTCCTTGTGCCAATTTATTGATATATCCAAAGTTTAAGTGCCCATATCTACAATGCCATTCCCTTAGTGTTGGAACTTTTGTTGTTGTAATGTTAACATAGTCTGGTTGAGTGTTTACAACATATAACTTGCTTTTGAGCAAATGTCCAATGTTGATTGTCTTCCCATTCTTGATTATATAACATTTTTCATCGTCGAATATAACCTCAGCTTCCATTTGGGTCATCGCTGGTACTGATAGTAGATTCTTCTTAATTTCTGGGACAAATAATATTTTATGTAAATTTAAAGTAATGTTGTCTGCACCATCATTACATTCAAGATTCACTTTTCCTTCGCCATATGCTTTGACGACTCTATTATCTCCAAGATAGATCTTCGATGGTTCCTCATATTTCTTGTAATCAGTTATAATATTCCTCTGAAATGTCATGTGTTTAGTTGCTCCACTATCAATGAACCATTGATCATTTTTCCCTTTATTGGTGGATGTAGAACTTAAAAGCTATTCCTTCATTTCCACGTTTATCTTGCTTGCCTTCTTCAGTGATATTTGATTCATTTGATTTCTTGTTAAGAGGACAGTTCTTAACCATGTGACCAAATTTCTCACATTTGAACCATTTAATTCCTCGCATCTGGTTTGGTCTCCTCTGATTGTGTACACCACTGTCTCGGGTATGGTTGCCACACTGTCTGCCACCACGAAACTGATGATTCCTTCCACGGAATGAATAATTACTCTTCCTCGAAAATAATGCATCGTTCTGACCTGGACTCTCTGTTTGCTTTTCTTTTCGCTTCATGTACTCTTCAACCAATAAGCTTTTGACATTTTCCCATTTAAGATCTTCTACTTTCTGAGCATTCAAACTTGAAATAAAGTTTTCATACGATTCAGGAAGGCTTCCTAAAATCACTGTGGCAAATTTCTGATCTGAAATCTCCTCTTTCATTTCTCGCAATTGCTCTGCCAGTGTTGTCATGTACGTAATATGCTCCATTATATCGCCATCTTCTTTCATAGTAGCAGCATAAAATCTGCGGTTTAATCTTACGATTTGAGTGATTGAAACGAACTCGAATTGCTTTCGAAGTGTCTCCCAAGCTTCCAAAGGATTTGTTGGTGTACTAATGTGAACTTGTAGATTCTTATCAACGCTTAGTGCAATCAATGAATATGCTTTGTCAGATTTTAGTTGATACGCACTTTTTACCTGTGCAGTGGCGGTTTCAGCTGGCTGTTCCTCAGTTGCATTTACAAAACCCCATAATCCTCGCTCCATCAATACTAATTTCATGTTATACTTCCAAGATTGGTAGTTCTTTCCATTTAAATGTTCAATCTTTGTAATTTCCCTTATTTCCGCCATATTGAATTTTTCCTTCGCAAACAATAGCTTAGTTTGCACTTTTCAACGGCATGTTTACGCTTCAGTAAACACGCTATATTATTCCCGTCAATTAAGACATACGTATCGTACACTCAAGCGTCACCTGGGCCCATAACCTGTTAAAAACCATGTTATTTAATATGAAAAATAAACGTTTTACGTACGATACATGAATACAATATATACGCTTCGACACATACGATCAGGAGAGAGAACAACGTGTTCGAAAGTCATGTGATCACCGTCCAATCATATCTCTTAAAACAAAATACTTAATGTATGCAATAATATAAATGATTATTACTAATTTCAACAATATTAGGGGGTAATTTTGGGCTTTGATGTCCCTGGAGAGGGGGGGAGGATGAACCATTCAAGGATGTCCGAAGGGGGGGTGTTATTTTCGATTTCCTCCGTAGGGGGGGGGGGGGGGTATGGATCTTTTCTGGAATGACCCAATAGCGAACACTGATTGTTCAAATTGAAAAATTATTTGCATTATAACGACTGCATGATGACAGCGAAATAGCAAACTAGGGATGAGCTGATTAATCGGCCAAGGTGATTAATCGGCCGATAATCGGCAAAAATATTCATAAATTTTGTAAAAATATTCGTAAAATTTCTGTGTTACCATGACAACTACTTTAAATACTTTATGTTCGGAAATGGTTTTGTCAAAAGGCAAGGGTTTCTGCATGCATGTATTTTCTAGTAATAACAATTATAATAAAACACAACTTGACATTTCACCAGCAACAGATTTGGAGTGGCCTTCCAAATTTGTTAAGAAAAATCCATACCTAAATGATAGGATGCCATTCCATAAGACTCAAATGCATAAGGTGATAATGATGGAAGGATACCAAATGTGAAACTAGACACAACAGCTTGTATGAAAAACAGAATCACTAGTCTACGACTTGACAAACATGAGCTCCCAAATTTCACTTCTGGCTCTTGCTCCTCATTAATCAGCTCCTTTTTGTCTGTTTGACCATTACACTGTTGAGCAACATGGTTCGTTATCACCTCTACGCACTGCTCATTGACAGCAAATGGTAAAAAGTTCAGAGCAAGAAATGCAAAGCCAGAGAATAGCATCATTACTAGCAAAATTATGAAGTATGCACTTGCTGAGAATAGCAGTCCAGCATCTGACGGCTGTGATGTTGAGTTTTCATTTGCACCAGTGTGATTGGTGCTGTTACAAACAACTACTGGTGAGCCTTGAATAATAGCAGCTAGACCAGGCAGCAGGCCACAAAAAGATTCACCAATATACAAGGCAGTTATATAACGTGGGTCATACATTGCCATGAATGTGAGGAAAACAACAGACGAAGTACAGTCAACTAATGCAAGTGTAAAGACCAGGACCATTAACGCAACACTATGCGGTTTGCCATCGACCTTTGTGGTTTTTTTGAACCATATTGCGAGGAATAAACACGACAAAATACCAATGAGAAACAGCAAATATATTGTTAGTTTCTCGGTGAAGATTCGTGGACAAAGTTGATTTGCTAGCGAAAAAAGGAGAGGACCAGCAAATCCCAGCTGAATGATAACCACAGTATATGATGCAATTTGCCATTTCTCCGGTGCGTAAAGTACAATGACCGGCAATTCAGACCAGATACCATTGACTGTTATCCACGAACTCAACGCAAAGCAAGCGATCAAACTGTATGTTCGCCATGATATATCGGTATTTACTAAAGCGGTCTTCGCTTCACGATAGCTCTCCACCAAACGTTCCATCACGCGCGTCAACAAAGAATATGACATACTGATAAAATTCGCAGCTATTTATCCACCGCTGAATTGTGTGTTATTGTTTCTAAACTCAGGGGAATATTCAACATAATGTGATCTCCATATTAAATTTGAGTCATTGATTCGACTACCGATTCTGTTCTATCCTCAAAAGTCAAAACGGAAGTAAGTCCGGTTCAGTGACTGTTCAGTGACCCATTTTTCCCTCGGCATTTTTCCTTAATTTTCCGTATTCTCACCACCTTGCTTTTAAGGTCGTAAATGTCTTTTACTTGAAGACAAAAATGCAGTACATTAAGCAGCGTCATGCATAGCTAAGCTAATGACATTTCTATCACTCAAAATTTTGGGAGATTGTGTCGATTGGCACACTGATCGGTCCCAAATCTGCAACTTGAAATTTAAGGAATTTTTGAGAAAATAAAGGAATTTCAGAATGCTAAGCTGTGTTTCAGTGCTGTGTATTTATACTGTATTTTATATAAAATTTTAGATAAAATGGTTAGATTTACTCCCAAGCGTATATGCAGAAATACTGCAATTATTTTTATTATTGTTGTCATGTACTTTTGGTTATCTTTTGATGGGGAAAACCAGATAGAGTATTCAGACGATTTGAAGGCTAAAACATTATTGATAAATGACTTTTGGGTGCCAGAGAAACGTCTTGTAAAGGTTTATAGGCCAGGTGATGGTGGTAGACCTGTTTACAGCAGTGCTAGTGAAGAAAAGCTAAAACAGCAGCAGTCATATGTTGAATATGGATTCAACCAGTTCATCAGTGACAAGATATCTCTCAATAGAACCCTACCTGATACTAGACCAAAACAGTGAGTATATAAAAGCTAGTATACACTGTGTTTGATGAATTAACAGTTTGTGTACACCTTCTTAGGGGCTTATTTATACCTGGAGAGTTTTCGGCTTGGGATTGCCTTGGCTGGGTGCCTGGTTTTCAACCTGGTTAGCCAGGTTGAAATTTCACCATTGGCTAATTCCTGACTGCATTCCACCTAATTTTCTCGCTGCCAAAGATCCACACCAGAAATTCAGCTTAATAAAACTATATCCACCAAAGACTATATTTAAAGCGGTCAAGTTACATGTGCCAATTAAAGGTGCAAAAATCTCATCTTTTAATAGTTTGAGAACTTTGACAGATCATCTTTGGCAGGAGGGGCCTGGAATGCAGTTGGGGGCTAATTGGATAAAATCCTGTTAATCCAGACAGATGGCCAGCAGTGGCACAGTTGTAAGAAAGGGAAAGTTGACAGGGTGCCTTAGGATAAACACAGTTAAAAGAAAGTTATCACAAAATTTTGTTGTGAAGATAAATAGTCTACTAGCTATAAGTAAGTAACATAATTAAGTGAGCGTAATACTTGATGTAATCGGTCAATGAAAAGCCCCATACAGTACCCTGGTTCCAGAGGCTCTTTGCGAGGCGAAATTAACGAGAAGCAAGAAGGATTTAAAGCCTCGATCTGGTCACATCGGTTGCAAATCCCACTTCTACACTTGATTTGTAGGTTCAGAATTTGAATGGCGCATGTGATTGGCCATTTGTAAAAATATGTCAATTGAAACCGGTTTGGGAAATAAACATTACTGCAAGGTAATGTAGCTATTATTAATAATAGTACAATGCTGTACAATGGGGAGTGAGCTGATCAAACAAAATAATGTAATGTAATCCCTGTCGGATTGCATGAATGTTTGGAAACTGTACGCTGGAGATTTCGAAAATTTAATAGTAAATATATAGAATGCATCAAAATTGTACGCTTAATGTCTCTGGGACAGAGCTTTTTCCAACACATTTTCAGCAATTTTGGAGAAAGCCGAATAGAATGGTTAATACTAGTCTGCTTAATAAATAATTAATGCCTGCTGCAGGCATAGTATAATTACTCCCAACAAGAGAATTGACCAATGGGAATTTATCTAATGTTTGCCTGCCAATAAGTTTACAATGCTTTTGACAACATTATGGTAGGCATTTATTTTTCTCGCCGCCTGCAAGTGACTCACTCTGTAAATGCCAGTACTATGCAGGCTACACTACAAGTTAGTAGCCTGGGTCAGGAAAGGCATGATTTTGGTAATTTTATACTACACATCTAAAAATCTCACAGCTTATCAACAAGATGTGTTCATGCTGCATGTACAGTATAAAATTTAAACTGTCTCGATCAAAACTACCATTAAAAAAATCCTTCAACATTAGTTCATGAAACACTGAAACGAGATGCCCAAAAATCCCAAGGTTAATGATACGCTAGATAATATCATGATTGCGGGTATTCCCTTTGTTCTCGCAGGGCAATTAATTAATAACTAATACACCTCATTATATTCATTTTTTTCTAAATCTAATCCTACCCGCTTTTACATCATGTCAGGTAGAATTAGTTGTAATCCTACCCGAAACGATGTCAAAGCGGGTACGATTAGAAAAAATGAATATATCTGAAATCGCCAAAACTAAACAAAGACATGGAAAACAATTATACCATTTAATTTATACCATTATTTATTGTTAATTGGTTTTTAATGGCCCTGCGAGAACAACAGGTCTGTCTGGAATACCCGCAATCATGATATTACAAGGTAATAGCATAGAAAGAGGCGAATTAGCTATTGAAAACGTCCCGCCCGATGAGGGTTGTTTAGTAAAATTCCCTTGGGCGCCGCTCGATGAGGGTCATTTAGTAAAATTCCCTCGGGCCTTAAATGACCCTCATCGAGCGGCGCCCAAGGGAATTTTACTAAACGACCCTCATCGGACGGGACGTTTTAATAGCTAATTCGCCTCTTTCTATGCTATTACTTATAAGCATAGTTTACATTTAACTATGTCTGTACATTTTAAATGCATGTGCATGTAAAATTAACCGCTATATATTAAGAGTTTTATTTTATACAACCGGCTTCTGTAAGTCTTGGTTGGAAAGAAGGATGCATGGTTCCACAAGATTTTGTGTTGGTTATGGGAAATATCGAATAATTACTTGTTATAACCACTGTGTTATAACTTATGCCCTTTGGCAGAATCTCAAATCAATAGCACTAATGCCGGATCACCTTTCAGGCTCCAAATATAGTTCTTAACTTTGGATATACCTGTTAATTGACAAATAACTGTGTAGTATATTAACATTCACTTATTTCACTGAGATGAGGTTCAGATAAATATTCTTAAAAAAATACTCAGCCAAAGGCAAAGACTAATTAATAATAAGTTTCAGTATCTATCAAATTTTTACCCGATCAAGTCACGATTATGAAATTTATCCAGTTATTTACTGACGAAATTTACCCTTCTTTTGAAAGCTAAAAGAAAAACATTTCATATTTGTCATGAATGTTTGACTTCTAGATACATACTGGAATTAAGATTCTAGGAATCCAATAATATCCACTTAGGGTTAATTTTGCAAAACATAAAAATCAAAACTAGATCTAGACTTTCTTTTCCTGGAAGCCGAATATGGTTAAACAAATGTAAAACCATCCAATAGGACATTATTATACATAATTTAGTTTTTTTTATTTTAAACTATATTATAATGTTTTCACATCCAGCTTTGCCTAAACATCTGTCTCTGTCTTTATATATACTATTGCAGTATTGGAAACTTTCTCTAATCTCTATATTTTCCTTCAATAGATGTAAATACCGTCGATATTATACAAAGTTGTTGAAAGCATCAGTAGTTATCATTTTTCACAATGAGGGATGGTCAACACTGATGAGAACAGTCAACAGTGTTGTGAACAGATCGCCGCCATCAATGCTTAAAGAAATCGTATTAGTTGACGATTTTAGTAATAAAGGTAACTCATTAAAATATTCTGAATGAAATCATGCATCAGTACGAGTACGAGACGATCTGTGGTTTTACACAGAAGGTTTTTTTACTGGTTAGTTTTGTATGGGGAGTGTAATATTATTGTGATTTTATGAAGTCAGAATTTATCTTTAAATTTTGGAAGTTATTCAGAAACGTTACAGTCGTTGTAAATGTGTTACGGGCTGGAAATGATGTTTCACTGATATCAGTGACATTTTGGCTACCATAAATCCCCTGTTGAGTTCACTTCTGAAATAAATCTCCTCTCTATAAAGTAACTGGTAATTTATGTAATATATAAGTAACTATAACCCACACCCATTTTACAGCACATCATGTGTACTGAAAAGTACTGTATGTGTACTGATTACTGCGGGTTAGAAGTTACTATTATTGCGGTCATTTGCGGAAGTGTTCGCCCTTGTGACAGTATTAATTAATGGTAACTTGTAACAAAAAATGAACCAACTTTAGCTAACTGAGAAAGTGTCGAGAAAAATTACGCTGTCTTGGCGTCATTATTGCAAAAGTTTCTTTTTCGAGTTTAGTTTCGCATCGTTCTTAGCATATTGATTTTAACAATTTACTGGGCCGATTATTATGTTAGTTACTTAGTTATTAGAATTACACCCTGCACTATTGGACCACTTGCCTTATAGCGATGCCCGCTATGCATCACGGTATAGGAATCCTCACTTTGCAATCGAACGAAAACTACATGTTCATGGTTGCAAAAAGTTGTTCTGACCAGTAACAATTTCCCATTTTCTCTTCAAAACAAAATCGCACGCTCCTATGCACAGTCGCCATGTCATTCGATTATAAAGTGGCGATTTCTACCGTCATGCATAGCGGGCATCACTATAAGGCAAGTGGCTCATCCTATTGTCAATAGATGATTCCACTTATTACGTTTTCGTAGCGCTTTGGATTGTGGTTATAGTGGTATCACTGATAAAGATAGCGGCCTCGAATTAAAATATTGAATGTTTTCGTGAAATATTTTGCTGTTGGCGGCTATCGTGCACCTGACCCTAGCTTTTTTAAAAGTTCTTGCACGGGTCAGGACAAAAAATAAGCCATCTTGAATATCAATGATACCACTATAACCACAATGCAAAGCGCTACGAAAACGTAAT